AAAAAAAAGAGGAAAAAAAATTTAGAAATAAAACTTGTACCCTTTTTAAAAAAAAAAAAAAAAAAAGAAAAGATAAGGTTTGTGTGACCATCTTTATTCCCATAAGGCTATGGGTATTGGTTTCAATTACACTCCCTTTACATTCTTGAGCAAGTCCCATATCAGCCTGTCATTTATTCTGACTGGAATCAATACCTGACCAACAGACCCCAGAATTACTGGGGTCATCTACTTGGGACTCTAAGTGTCAGTGTTCTATAAACTTTCTTTTGGTCCTCTGGAACCCCCTTTGCTATAGCAATAGAAATAGGATTATTTAAAGGAAACACCCATCCCTTTTAATACTGCAACCATAGCTTTTAGTTTTGCTCATAGATCAACTGCTGGGGTTATCACCTTCAGATCTGAAAGTCAGCTGCCACAAAACCATGAAAGGGTAGGCAATAGTAGTGAATGAAGCTTTATTCTGCAACAGTTCAGACTTACTGTGCTGTCAAATATGGTAATGCACTTCGCACTGCAGGATATACAGCAGACTGTATATCTCCTTCTAGAAGCCAACTACCTTTCACAATAGGAGTCACGGAATGTACCACTTACTTATTATCATTGTTTAGACTATCCGTCGGCTGCTGGTATTGCCCGTTCATTCTGCTCTCTTTACTGCAACACACACACACACAAAAATCCAGTCACTTAAAGCAGTGGCTTCCCAAACCGAGGAAACAGGTTTTACATGACACAGCCTGTTTGCCAAATCCAGGTCCTTATTCAAAGGCACAATGCTGCTTAGCAGCAGAGAAGGGCTGCTGATTAGGATGCTAAAGATGCTTTATTTGTTCTCACAGCAATGCTACATAAGAAACACCATTTCTCCTCCCGGTCCAGGCTTCAGTGCTGCAAATACAGATCTGTTTATGTCAAATGTCCTATCCAGAAAGCTTAAAAACAGGTTAAGAAAAGATTTGTATTTTAAACCTGGGAAAATATCTAATTACATCAATCCTTTATCCTGTGATGGGTCAATCATCCTGGCTCTGACTTGTAAATTCATTTTGTGTTTTGACAGCAGCAATAGGATTATGCTGTTGATTTCATAGCCGATGAAATTCAGATTACTGAGTTATGCCTGCTGATTATCCCATCTATATTCCATTATGCTTGGTACCTTTCATCAGCAGAGCCTGTTCTACCCAGGGAGAATCTACCACAGAGCAACAGGGAAGTCTCAAAATCTCCAGAATATACTGGAATAAACCATATATTCTTAATATAACACTATTTAACGGAGCTTCAGGGCTCTCCTTTCTTTCCTGGCAAAAGCATCTACTTTTCTCCAGGGGGCAGGGGAGGTGGGGCTTGAAATTACTAGTAAAATTTTAGCATCAAATAGAGCCCCTGTGTTAAGAGATGCCATGTTTTGGGGCTTTCTACATTGCTTCAGGTGTAAATTAAATCTGAATATCCTCTTGTATATTTGAATGGAATACCTGATAAATACCCGTTAACTGAGCTGATTAAATTCTTTTCATAAAGGTATATTTATATAAATATGTCACGTCTTTCACAAACCTGGGAGTTGGGAGAAGTCTTACTGTTTCTGTTTAAGTATCAATTAGAAATACCTATTTTAATATGGACTATGTTTTTTCTTCTTGCAGCATTCTCTAAACAGAAGTTGAAGGTACAAACCAAAAAACCCCACATTTGCCTGTATGCCGGAATAAAGAGGAAGGATTTTTATAACTTCAGAAATACTAGGTTAGGCATTAGGTTATGTCTAGTCTGCCTGATTACACAAGATGACTGGTGGGTGGGCACTCAGGTGATGGGACCGAAGCAGAGATCTGAAGGCACAATGGCTGTGAGTCTATAAAAATTTAACATGCAACTAGAAATGTAACACATATTAATAAAAAAAAAATTATCGTTTCAATATAAAGCCTTTTCTGGCACACAAAAATAGAAATTAGTTTAGAAAAGATGCACATTTCAAGGAGAAGCTTACAGCAGAAGTATCATTATACATACTGTTCTATAACCTTGATTCAAGGATGTTCCATGTTTCATGATGCACATGTATGAACTGGTAAACAGTTCTGTCCAGGTCTTTGGGGGATTTTGAACTTGGTACACACCTGGAAGCCATGAATGGTGTCATGTCCAGCTCCAGCGGAAATGAGACATACGTAGTGATCTTTCGCCTCAGTTTGGCTGAGTGTTCAAACCGCTGGAGACAAAGTGGAAGAATTTTTTTTTTTCTTTAGAGAAAGGCTAAGTTTATCTTTTATAAATGTCCTAAGCTTAGGAACAATAACATGAAAGCATATTAGCAGTCAGTATCCAGGGACATCCCCATATTTTTTTCTACCAACGATCTGGGCTGGAAACCCCCGCGTAAATGCTAACACATTTCTACCAGGAAAATAAACCACAATTTCCGGGGAAAAAACACAGTATTAAATTAGATTGTTTACCTTCATATCTATACATACAAACTGATTCCCAACTGATGTTAAGAAAAAATATATTAAACAGAGAGAGCACACACAGCCTTCACCCAAACCAGTGTTCATTTGTACTACGTACTATTCAAATACGTGGCTGCTGCCTACACTCACACACAAAACTGGTGACAATGAGAGCTTGCCATCAGATTCACACACTTAATCCACCCATCCAATCATCTCAAGCGACAGGAGTCAAGCCTACACAGGAATACCAATTCAAATTAAGGCAAAAATGGAATATGATAATAAAAAAGCCTTGTCCCTCCGCCAAAAGGAGCCTGCAATACCCACCATCCTCTCCTCATCTTCTCAATTGAACATTAAATGGAAACAGGAACAAATACCAGAAAGAGATGAATGAGTTTCTATTTAAAGGCAGCTTCTCTCCCCATTTCTCAGAAATTCTGCTCTATTTACACTTCAAGTTAATTATTTTCCAATTGTGGTGCCATAACAATTCCCTAGCAACAGATCCATACATGAAAAGCTGAGAGTTCTGTAATTCTTATCTTTCATGTTTCTTTTTTGCTTTAACACATGAAATGAAATTTGCATTTTGCATGGACAGGACAACACAATCACTTAGGAAAAGTAATTTATTTTCAAAAAATCTTCCATCATTCTGGATAACACAAATACTGAATTGAGTGTAGGAAAGGTGTTGAGCACGTTCACACTGCCTTGCCCAAAGAGCAGAATCACCTAGGTATATCTTGCCAACTACTCTGCAATAACAAAATAAAATAAAAACAAGAGCCCCACACCCCCAAAACTCCTCCCAAAAGCCAAGCAGCCAGCCAAGCACTCCTGAAACCTCAAGTCAGTCATGCAAGAATGCTCTTCAGGAAGACCACAACCAGCCAAAGAAGAACAAATTAACTGTGCTACTATCTGTTCCAGTCAGGCTAGTATCTTTGGCATATAACATTGCGCATCATCTTGGTTAATACTCAAGATGCAACTGAAGAACTGCTGGTATATGGGGGTGAACATCTGAAGGCATGATTGTCCCAAACAGTCTGAAAAGGCCTGTAAATTACAGAAGAGGGAACTCTTTCCACCTGTAACACCTTTTTCCAGCAGAAAGCAGAATCAGTCTTTTCTCACAAATACAGACCTTCCTATGGCATTCTGTTTTCATGTCAAGACCTCTGCATTTCATTAATAAGGTTCTGTACAAGCCAGATTTTGAAAATAAATTTTAAATCGCTCCTACACTGTATACGGAGTTGCTATGTAATTTAACAATTCCAAACTACAATCATTTCTTGAATACAGTCTGTGACTTGCTCAGTGAGACCATAACACTATAGTTACACAGATTATTAGGTTTTCCAGTACGAACGTACTGACCTAGCTTAGAGGGCTACTGGAAAATAAACCAGAAAAACTGCCTGCATGCTACAGCAAAGTTCAGCACGCACTTTGCCATGACAGCTACAAGATAAAGGTCTCATTTCAACACTATTAAAGTTACCCAGGTGTTTTACCACAGTTCAAAGCCTAGAAACCATGTAAGAATTGAACAACTGAACAAAGTCTCTGGAGCAAAAGGCTGGAACGTGTGTTCTTTCAATTCACCGTTCCCCAATCGGAAAGAAAAGTGATATATGCCTTCATTTGTACACAGCATATAGGCTGCCGTTTTGAAATCTGTTCCCAGCCACCATGGTGGTAGGTAAAATGCTGCTTTTCTTTATGGAGCTTATGTGAAATTAATATCATCATCAGATAAGCAGTTTCTTGAAACACTGGTCATAGTCAGAGCTGAGGCCAGCGATTACCAGTTGCTGCCTAGCAGTGAGAGGACTTTGTCATTCTGTCCCAGGAGGCACTCAAGACCTTAGAGGTCTGCATCTGAAAAGCTCAAGCAGATCAAAGATGCAATTAAATTACTATGGTGGCTGCTTCTACAAAGGCCTGTGGCATCACTTTTCAAGGACCCTTTGCCTCTTGACACAGAATGACCTTCATCTGTGATAGCTGCCTACTTTGCACCACAGTCAGTCTTATATATTTAAGACATAAATTGTACAGGACTAAATTATCTGAGGGCAGCAGCTATGACATTATCTCCCATCATTGCATCTGACAATCTGGACTGGAAATGTTGAAAACTGCATCACAGTTGGGAAGATACAAGAAGCCTTCTCCATTGCAACCAATACCTTTTTCGTGCTTTTCCTTCAACACAGAGTTCCTCTGTGGCATTCTTCCAGTAGAAGTGTAGGGTAAAAATTTTACCATGCAGGATGACTAAGTGTTATTGAAGATCGGTTTCTACGCTGGTTCAGGTATTGTACTAGCCTTCGATTTTGTTTCTAGATTCTGATTAGTTAGGTTCCCACAGATATACTGCAAAGCTACATTATAGATAATGTAATACGATCTTAATAGAAAATCTAGCTGGGCATGCAAGCTGTTCTTTATATTAATTTATATCATAAAAGATTAGTCAGTGAAAGCCAGAAGATGTGTCCAGGAGTTCAGCCCATCCTCTCAGAGAGGAATACATGTCCTCTGCTCTGTCTGCCCCCTGTGAACTTACTTTGAGATGAAAACAGGCCACAATGGGTAACTTCTTCATAGTGAGTTGTTTGGTAGATTCCTGGTAGCTATGGCAACCACTACATTTGATTTTGGCACTGCTTCCTAGATGTTCTGGCCTTGTAAACCTGAAAAAAATATTAAAAAGCAAAGGGATGCACAAAACAATCAGACGATTTTCCACACATGCTGAAAACACTTCTTTTACTTTTACTTCTGGGTCACTGGCACCACAAGAGACAGAGTTCACGGCCTTTAAGTGTCATTTTGAAAAAACTCAACACCTGTAAGAACGTAAAGTGCCATGGTTCAGATATCCAAATCTGACATTTATTATTGCTCTACTTGGCAACATTGCACTGAAAGGCATCAGTGTCTGAGAAAGGAGCTAAATGTTAGTTCATCTCTTACAACAGGACAGCTCATTTTCATACAGAAAGCAAAGATCTTTTGTTTTCAAAACCAAAAACATTGATATGGAAGTTCCAAAGGAAGATGACACTACTTCTGTGCTCAGCTGCATGCTAGTCTGCAGGACACTCTTCTAGCTTGTAGCCCTCCAGGGCTAGGATCAAAGCTCTGAGATGGAAAGGGCTGTAAACACAAAGTTCTTTTCAAAATACAGATATCTTCTAAGAAAACCCAAGTGTTGACAACTAGAAAAATCTCTTTCAAAATTTTCAGACAGAACTGCTCAAGGGAGCTATAGGAAGAGACCATTACAGAATAGGGAACTGCTCAGAGAAAATATACTACCTCTGTGTTCTCACAACACACTAAAGCAAAATACCTCTCACTTTTTCAGAAACTGTCAGCTCAGAAAAAGCTAGGAGGATGGACTGCTAAGTCTTTTCCTCGAAGTTTAGACTTCCACGGGGCAAATAAATCATCTCCCCAGAGGCTGCTTTACAACTAGGATTTTTGAGATGAAATATTTTGAAATGTAATTGAACATTTTACATTAATGCACACACTAAGCATGTCAGTGCAACATGTTATCAGCTTGTCACTAACCCTACCTTGCCTCATTCTATTTATGGTCAATGCAGCCTCCAGCATTAAATGATCATCACAGCCTCCTGGTCTCCCCTCTTGTCTGATTAACAAGATTCCCTTTACCTAGCCTATGTACCACCATTCTCTGGTTTTGGTTTTGTTTTTTGATATTTTTTTTTCCTTCTCTCAAGTCTGTAAAAAGGCTTATAAATTTGTTGGTATTGTTGTTAGAAGTGCCTACATCTTTCTCGTTTTTTGTCATACTCCTGCTCAATCCTTCCTTCTTCAAGCCAACTTCAAGTTGCATGGCTACACTGGTTGACATGAAGTTACGCAACTTCCTTGTTTCAATCTAATATTCAACCTGCTTGCTAATTTGTGGGTAAAAACCTACCTCTCTATCCATTAGAGTTCAATTTCTTTCCAAAATCCATACTCTTTGACAGTATCTTTAACCTGGATGTTTTTCCTTCCCTGTCACCATCTCTCTCTGATTCTACTAATCCCCATGTTAAAGAAAATCTCCAAAATCCACCTGGTTTTGCCTCCTCATGCATTTCTGCATAAGCAATTTCACATTTATACTAATTCCCTTGTTTTCTTAAAATTATTGATCTTAGAAGTATCAAGAAGGTTAGAAATCATGTCAGAAGCTATGAATTTTTATTTCAGGAGGATTAGCATTGCCCCAGGCTACAGGTAACCTCTTCCTCAGTGAAATACCTTCAACAAATATCTGCATTTGCCACAACAGAATGACTTTCAGATCTGCTAAAAGATCCAAGTTAACTGTATATGAAGCCATGACATTCTCTCCAGTTACCTGTTTCCAAGATGCCCAAGTTTCCTGCTCAGAATTATCTTTTATTTTTGAAAGCTCCACTTCTTTAATTCTTAATGTCATCCCCGCAACTAAGCTGGCAGTAGCTGACCCTCAGTTCTGCTTAGAGCAAAATCAGATTCATACTTGGTGTTATAATTTAGACAAGTATTAAACACATTGTGAACTCTCTTTATGTGCTTGCTTAGCTGACACAACCAAGAACATGGAGACAGACACTAGTGGTTTCAATCATTTAAAACCACATTGCCTGGCAGCAGTCAACGTAAAATTTATTTTCTTTTTGCATCGTATGGCAACTAGTTTTCATTGCTTATTGTTAGGCCTACTGTTGTTCTGAGCTTTCTTACTTTCTCTTAGGCAAAACCCTAAAATACGTATAAAAATGCTGTTTGGGGATAATGCCATGACAAAGCATCACTTACTCCCATTGTTCGGTGCCACCTAGAGAACAGAATGAAGCCAAAATTGTATTTGTCTCATTTCATACCTTCGCAAGCAGTCTGTGAGAGTGGTGGTGCCTGATACATGGCTTTCCCCATTTACGACACTGCCATCACTCCCCGGACTCAGTGGCCAGAACGGGGTGGAGGAGCCTGGCAAATCCAAACTGATGTCCCAAAATGGGTCTATCGTTGTGGAAACGCCACTATGAAAAAGAAAGCAGTTTGATACATATTTAAAGGAAGTAAAATTAACAGTCTCTCTCACTTTAGGGTGCACACCAGACACTTACTTTTAAGAACTATGGGATCTACATCACCCCTAGAGGGCACTCAAAGATGACAGAAAATACAGTTGCTCCAGAGTGTTTTACCATGACTGATTGTTTTTCTGAATATTTAAAAGCCATATGTTTTAGAAGAACGTATGTGATGTACTAAATGCAAAATATATGCATTTAATACATTCTCCAACTCACTGGAGTCCTGTGACTCAAAGTGAACAAGCAGGGTTACTCCGAGATAGAGGTAGTGGTCATACTGACCAGTATAAACCAGCTAATATCTGTGATGACAGCTAGTGCAATCCAACTAGTTCAGGAGCATGGCTCTCTGGTCAAGACATGGAAAATGGTGCTTAAGGCTACTTTGATAAAGAGAGCGCCAAATGCTTTCGCTAAACAGTAGCGCACTGAATTAAGCTTTGCAGTTCATGTTAGCGTCTCCTACAGCATTTGGAATTTGAGAGGCCAAAGAATAACTGCATCAAGAAGTAGCGTATGTTCTCAACCAGATTTCTCTACAAGACAGCTGAAGACAAGCCAACAGCTAGACTATGGAAAAAGCTTCTCAAAATTTTAACTTGTATTGACTCAAATCTTTTCGTCTAGTGTTTACATTTTTAAGAGCACTCCAGAACTTCAGGGGTCTAAGCTCCTCGTTTGGATGCACTTTCTGTTTGTACTCATTATGCTGATTTTTTGAGTTCTCTCTTCCTCTAAAACTAGTGTCTTTCACTCTGCGATCTCACTAAGCCTACAACAGTCTGCCTTTTCTCCAGCTTCGTTTGTGCAAAAGTTGTCAATTTTCAAGAGAAAACTTTTGTTAAAGTTTCATCAATGCTAATATTGTGTCATAACACATCAAGCTTTTTATTATCATATAAGGATTCTGTGGCTCTACAAGGCAAAGAACAAAATTTCGTACGTTTTCCTTACAGTAAATCTTCTGCAAATCTCTCCAGGAAACTGAGAATAAAAGCAGATTCAAACAAGCACAGCACAACAGTCTATCTGCAGGACAGCGTGCGTAATTATAAAGAATGCAAGACAGAACAAAAAACAAGAACTCTGACTTCTGCACTATGGCAACACCAAACATCTTGAAAGAGAAGTCAACTTGCTCCAGTACCCAGAGTAGAACAACAAATACGTTTTTCCTTACTCTTGTAAAACATTCACTTGTTGGTACCCAAGATTACATTAGTATCAGCCTCTTTGAAACCTCTCCTGATGATACATGAGGCTCCTAACTGAAGGAAAATATGATTGCATATCAGAATTTTCTTCAAATGTAGTGGCAATTACATACTTTCAAAACCAAAGAGATCTTGGAAGTCTTTTCCTCATGAACTTGGAAAAGAACAACCTTTTACAGACTAGTAAAAAGTTTATGTCCATAAGCCTGTGGTGCTTCCCAGGTAGCTTTTTCGGTATGTCTTAATATATGACAATTAACTAGTAACTGATTGCATTTAGCTGATGCTGTATTTAAACAGTTCTTGTCTTGCTGGTATTTTGGTGGTATTGTATTGGTATTCAAGAAAGAAAAGATTCAGTACACTGTTGCACTGGAGGGTGTACAGCTTCAAATCAGAGCGCAAAATCAGAAAAAATTACTTACTGGCAGACTTGACAGGTAACATCAGACTGCAGTCCACCTGTGAAGATTTGGTCTATGATGCAGTTACAGTGGTTGGGGTTGTTGGCCTTCTTCCCATTATCATCACCTGGAGGAATGCAAACACAAACTCAGAAGTCAAAAATCCTCCTAGGGAACAGTGGTTTATCTTGGACTGTGTCTCCAGTAACTCTTTATAACACAAATTTATAAACATACTGCAAGTTCACACAGACAATATGGAACCTTGGAAATGTCGTGCATTAAAGAAAAACAAGGAAACAAGAAGAGAACTCCTAGCAAAATATAGAATATAATCAGAGGGTGACTAACTGCTGTTAACTCCTGTAGAGGTGAAGCTTTAAAGCTGTATCAGCTGTCAGCCAACCCCTTTTTCAGGGTACAGCCCTATCTCCCTTTACAGAGACTTGCTTTGCACTATCTGGTGTAAAGATCAGTTCCTAAGATGAAGGAGTTGCCAAGGCGGTTCATGAAAAAGATCATTTAAACTTCACTTAGAGGGCCACTGTGCAACATTTGTATCTGAACAAATGGCCAGCTCTTTACCACAGAAGCACTAATTTCTGCTTAGGCAGAGTATTCAATAGCACATTACTTTCCTAAATGAACACAGAGGAGAAACCTCAGCAGATGCTACTTTTTAATTCTATCCCAGTCAACTTCTGAGAGTAGAGTGAGGGGAGGAGGTTTGTTAAGACCCATTAACCTCCAGCCTGCTGTCTGCATCCTGTCCTTTCAACATAAACATGTACCTTCCATTCAAGTTTTCACCAGTGAGAAAATGAAAGATGCCCTTATCTGAAGAGGGAAGATAAGTGCTGTGTCTTCCTCCAGCTTCTTCAGAGACATGGCAATCCTCTAAGTTCCCAAGGGGCACAATGCGTTCACATACCTATCTTTTAGGCATTATAAACTGTCATTGCACGTCTGAGGCGCACAGCAATTCATTTTTGATTTGAGTGCTGAGATTAGGCCAATTCAGCTTTCTTAGACTTATCAGAGCATTAAGTAACCAAAAATTTCTTGGCACAGTTCTTAGCTTTAAAGCATGCTCCTTCCATTCCCCATAGGTGAACTACAAGTGATACACTTTTTCTTCGATTTCCAATACTGTACTGCTTATTTCCTTGGGTAGGATAGATGCAATTGGTTTTGCTTTGTAAACAGAGATGAACATACAAACTATTTCACAGCACCAGCTAATTATTTTGTAAAGTACATCTTAAGATGTCTTCCCATCTCCTACAACAGAAACTGCTAAGACAGAATCAAGTTTTGCCAGATCTTCTAGTGTCTTTAACTTACTAGGAAGTATTTCAGTTTCAGAAAGTAAATACTACAGATGTTGACTCCTCAAATGAGAGCTATTACTCAAAAATAATTAATTTCTAGTCAAGCATGTGAAAAAACCACCCAAGGAAACAAAAAGCGTAAGGCAAAACCCCACCACTTTTCTTTTGCCTAAGGTGCTCTAGCTGGCGTCTTCTTGCAGCAGAAAGGAATGAGATTTTTTTTTCCCCCCAACGAAGCTTTTGAAGTTTGTCAGTTTACATAATATTTTCCAACAAAGGTTCCACCCGATATTAAGTGTGGAAAAGCAGACATAGGTGATACCTACTAAGCTGCAATGGGCCACTTCAGTTAATTAGATCCTAAATGCCTCAGAAAAGCTCTCACTCGGCTGCCTACTTTAGAAACTTTTGTTTGAATTGTCAAGAAAAGCATATTGTTTCCTTAAAATGGCTCTTGAACAAAGTGCTCTAAAATTAGATTTCAAATGTACAAGGTTCAAGTTGGGGGTTATCAGACCCAGTCTCAGGCATTTCTTGACGGGAATTTCAGCTAAACCTGACTGAACTTAAGATCTTTTTAAGGTCTCAATTATGCTAAGCTAATTAATAGCACATACAGTATAGAGACTGTACACGACATTCTTCACCTTTAGAAAAAGATCACTTATAAGCTTTAAAGACTACATGTGGATTTTCAAAGAAGAATTTAATGGGTTTTATCCTTGTTTTTAAAACACCACTTTTTCTTTTTGAAGAAACAACATGCAAGTGCCACATCCTGGTAATCTCACCATTTGAAACATTATCTCCCTCTGTTTTGTTTTGAGGGGGCAGAAGCAGAGAAACAGCGTCTAGAGATTTTCACTGGACCACAGGTAACATCCCTGTTGGACACCTTTAATAGACAGCCATTTCCGCCTACGGGAGAGAACAAATACTCCCTTTTCAATTATACAAGTCAATTAGGATCAGTGATGAGAGGGTCTCGAAAGAATATCCTGCGAGCTTGTTCCCAGCAAAACAGAAGGGCATTACCCACTCAACGTTATTTCCCATGGCATTTGGTTGGAGAGGAGGGAAAAAAAAAAAAAGTAAGATTACCACCTACTCACACTTGTCAATATGTAACAGATGCTGAGAGGAGGTATATTATGCAGCTGAGAACTAGAAGCTGCTAGATTGTTGTGCTCAAGTTAAGGTTCCCTTCAACATTTCTGTCTTACAAAGCATGTTTTAGTTTCATATATTTTGTTTTTAAAGCTGGTCATAATTCCTACTAGGGACATCAGCAGCATCTTGTAAGAGATTGGTCAACACAAGACTAAAATGAAAACTTCAAAATACCTCAATGTATACACTAATGTAATTACGAGAATGGCAGAAAATTGAGTTTAAAAGTTTGGATTCAAATTAAATGCAACTCTTAAAAAAAAAAAAAAAAAAACACAACAAAAACAAAAAACACCCAGAAGTTACTACTGCATCTGTGCAATAACTAAGCATATTAACTTGGTGTTCAAATATATATGCATTTAACATACTATTAAAGGCAAATCATATATAACAACTGCAAGAACCGCTATAGATTACTTTTTAACATTGCTTTTGTTTTTTAAATAAAGATAAAGACGTTTTGCCTCAAACTTCCATTGTGCATTTTAAATGAGAAAAATGAATTTTAAAATTGCGAAATTTTAAAAGGGACATTTATCACATTAATGTTAACTTTTCTGCTTTACTTTGGCCCCCAGTGTTCTGAACATGTGCTTGTTGTTCTTTATGACAAAGCAGTATACACATAAATTTATATGGATCATAGCAGATAACATTTCACAAACATATGCTTTATCAGCTCCTAAGAATACCATGTAAAATTCACAGAGCAGGGTAGTGTTTTACTCCCTAATCTCAGCACAGCATTCTTTTTCTGTCATGATACCTAGCATCAGGCTTCAAATTTGCTTTGTAGCAGTCCTTGTTAAAGATGAATGCAAAATGCTTCATGAAAACCAGCTAAATGAGAAATAATCAGATTTAAAGTACTACTCTTTTTTTGTTATACAACTGAATAACATTGGCTGAATAAAGTTTGGGATAAAAACATAGGATTACTTCAATTTTTTTTATCTTGCTTTTTGAACCTTTGTGTACAAATGCCCATCTCTGCCACTCTCTGCTGCTTGATTATTGTTGCTCTTGCAATAAATTAAAATACCCCCACAGCTAGTGATTTCAGTGGGCTGAATATTAACTTTCGAATTGCAGTCTTGCTCCATACAAGAAAATAACAACTCTGGTCTAAGTTTCTCCAAGTTTGAATATGTCTGAGACAAAGTTAGTAATTTACAAAGTGTTTGGATGATTGGAACCTCACTGTCATGGGAGTTTACAGAATTAGAACCCTGAATTTCTTCCACAACACTGATAATTAAGATGTATCCATCGTGTTGACTAAAAGCTAACCTAATGCTTTACACACTAGGCAGAAACACCCATTATGTACATTCCTCTAACAAATGAAGAGCCCTGGAACTCCTAAAGGATCCCACATGAAGAGTGGCGTATATTTTGTACTTGTTCTTCGTAGAAGAGTAAGAAAACATGGAAGAAGCACCAGATCAATGTCTGGTCATTTTCAGCATCTTCTATAATCCAAACATATTCAGAGACCAAAAATCAAAGTTGTCATGCATTTTGAAGATCAAAGTCAATACATGTTAAAGTCCAGGTGAACAGTTAAGACTTCAGTACAAAGAAGGTGGCCATTACCTACACAGCAAGGCTGTTCATAGATGTACTCTGGTGAAGAAGCTAACATCTAATGTAGAGTAAGCTCTGAATCTCATTTGGAAACTTTTATGGTAAGAAGGACCGCAAATGCCAACGTACAATGACACTACAGAACTCTTGAGCACTATCAAACCAGCAAGAGAGACCAGAATAGCACAAAATGCAGGTACAACTAAGTGTCATTTATAGTACCAATGTTGGAAAAAAATTCAGATTCAAGAAATCTCTTGCTTTTTTAGTTGGAGCATGCTTTGTAGGATGCAGTAGTACAAAATTTATCTTTAAACGTACATCAAAATAATGTATTTTTCCTAATTTAGGCAATGACAGATATCAAACACTCACAGCCTTCTCTGACTTGCATTAGGACACTTCCTAGAAACAGAGTAAATGGAATGGAAGAGGGATAAACGACTAATGTCAGCCAAACAAATATCACTGGACATTTATACAGTTCTTAGCATAAGGAACACTTTGGTGCCTGAAGCCTTGGTGACCATGAATAACGTCCAAAAGCTAGGGCTTTTAGACAAAATTTTCTCCATGCTTTATTTTACTTCACTGTGTGTTAATTGTAGAACTTGATTACTATTGACTGGAAGCTTTAAAAGATTTTTGATTCAATAAAATAAATATTTAATATTGGCAGGGAAGGCATTATTTGCTTATTGTTGCTTTAGGACATTCTCACTATTAGTAATAATATTTTTACAGATGTATAGTTCACGGGGGGGTGGGGGTGTGTGTGTCTGTGTGCATATATAAGTATGTAAGTGGGAAAACTTTCTCATTACATAGCAAATAGTTCATTCTGAAAGTGGTTTATCATGACCATACTTGAAATTCTGGTTTAGATGAACTGGTTTGGTTCCCACACAACTGCTCAACCACTTCTTTGAAATTACCTTGATGTGGTATAGATTATTTACCGTAGTTTAATAAAAGTCCATTTCTTCAGAAACAGAAATTTTAAAACCTGGGTGCACAGACGTCAAGGATCTAGTGCTAATGCCTTCCCACTAGTAGTGCTGTAACAGCTTAATTGTGTCCATGCAAGTAGCTCAAACTTAAGGATATCCATTAAATAACTGAATTTCAGTCCTTGTATTGAATGCAAATGGTACCTTTGCCATAACCCAAAAAAGCTCAGTACTAAAGGTGCATAAGCTCCTAATTCAATTCAAGTTGGCTGAAACCATTATGAAACTTGATACCAATTTAGAAGTCAATGTTTTCAACGCATCTGTGATAATCCAACCAGTGGTAAAAAAAAAATCCACACACATGCACACGCTCTTTCCAAAGAATGTCTAACATAATTTTTTCAAAGTTTTAGGACAGTTTCATTTTCATTCAGGCCAGAGAGGCCAAATAGAACCAAGAATAAAGACACTGTTGAGAAAGCTTGATTTTGTTGGTAATCGCAGAAGATGTATCAGATAGATTGTTCATTTAAAGCCAAACCACACTTACAAAAAAAAAAAAAGTCTTTTCAGATTCTTTTTCTTTATCAGTTTGAAAAGAGTGCAGAGACTTTTATTGTTGCAAGTTTTTTCTTTACAATTCTGAGAAGAAAATACTCCTCCTTCATGAATTAATTGGGAAGAAGAAATACGAACATCATTTTATATCAAAGATGATGAAAAAGCTTCAAGGTTTGTTAGATCAGTGGTTTAGAAACTTTACAGGAACCACAAAGTATTTCTGTCTGCAGCTGAGTTTATTCAGTGTTAAGAAGTGAGAGGTCAGTATCTGGATAGACTCTATTCCTTACAGTGCTTCAACACTAGTTTCGTTAGGCTTATTGAATTTCAGTTAGTGACTGTCAAATGACAGATATTAATAATTACAAAAGAACTGTTCTATGTACTCCTGTCCTTAAAAGTGCTCTTTTTGGAGAAGACTCTTTTGGAGGACACCTATTACAAATCTGAACAAGCATATCTGCTACCTTGTAGGACTGTCTCAAAGACAAAAGCAAGACTTCAAAATGTTTCAAAGAAGCAGTAGCAGCCTTCCCTTTGATAGTCCTCTGATAAGCCAAAAAACTAACCTCTAAGTGCCTTTTCTAAGACCACTAGAGGGAAGTTGAGTGCTTTAGAGCTTATTTTTAGTGACTAAGGATTTTTGTTTGTTTTGCTAGTATCAACCCTACTATTTTTCCCTTATAAGAAGAGTAAAAATTTCAGTGCTTAAGTGAATCAAGCTAGATCAAACATTGGCAGATTGGGAAATTTTCAGTTCAGTTTTAGTTCAGTTAATTAACATGAAATACATAATTTCATATGATACTACCAAATCAATTCAAGACTTAGATACTTCATTTCTAAGTGTATGTCACTGAATATTTTTACTGTATTATACATGTATTTTTATATACAGACTAATAAAAGATACCAAAAATACTAATTTTCTTTCTTATTCACATTTCTTTATGCAATTTGGCATCATAAATACTGTAGAATAATATTTAAGCAGAACAGCCATAGCCTCCCCTATGTTATTTTCAATCAGTCCCATGACACACTGAGTAAGAGTTCTAACTACCTCAAGTATAAATAGAATTAAAATGGCAATTTAAAAGAAAAGACAGTGACTCACAACCAATAAGAGAACATCACGATGGTGATTCAGATCAATGTACAGGCTTGTCTGCTTCTAACTCTAGCTAATTTTTGACAGCACGAATAGTTTATTTATTTATTCATAAATCTTTTCCTTTAAGTCTACCAAACATTTTAAAAGGAATTTGCTAAGACTGCTGTACTGGAAGACACTACACTTGATTTAAGAAGAGATTTTTCTACCTCCTTTTGATCCAATATTCCTTGTTGATTGAAGACTCAGTACAAGCCTTACCTTTGCAGTGTCTGTGTAGCACATCTAATGCAGCAATGAGGAACTCGTGTGCATCTTGTTGCTCGTACCCTGCTAAATGCCGTGCATGAGTCCATACCAGGTGCAATAACCTATATGGAATGTGAGGAGATCGGTGCCCAGAGTAAAACTGCTCAAAGCAAAGAAAAGGACATAACTGTTAACAAGTTACACAGCCTCAGTGCATTTAATTATTAAAAACTTAAATGAGTGCAATTAGTCAAATAAATTTAAACCATTTAATTCTGATGGCCTTAATAATAAAATACAGAGACAGCTTTTTATCACAGGCTACTGAAGAAGTGATCTCAGAACTGAGCACCTCAATTTTCTCCCTTGAAATTCCTTCATTTTGTATGGATTAGCCTAAAATAAAAAAAAGGGGGGAATCCTATATTTGCAAGAGATTAGCAATTTCGTTCACAAATTACATGCCCCCAACATCAGGAAAACCACTGAAGATGAGAATATCAGATGCCAACTGCCATCCAGCCCCTGAACCAAGCCACAGTAACTTTCTGCATCCAATGGCTGTGCACAATCCTATGTTATGGAAAAATTTACAAGCAGGATAACAGCCTCGTGCCAGTATTGGCCTTTCACTGTAGAGCTATAGCAGTGCAAGGCTTTAGAAACAACTTTATTCAGCACAGTTTTTTGCAGAGCTGAAAATATCACTTCATTCACCTATCACCAAAGTCAGCTGCCCGTTACCACTCCTGCAGGGTGTCACTGCTGGAGTTCTGGTCCTGGACCAGCTCCTGCATCTGCTTCTTAATCTGCTTCAGTCAAAATCTGATGAGCTGGCTACTGTAGCGACTGAAATTGCCCCAGGTGATTTTGCCAGAAGCGTATTAGGGAGCACACAGACAAATTATTCAGTCAGCAAAACCGTTATGTGAAACACCACTGCTGAGTGGTGACACACAGCTGGGGAGGTAAATCAGCACAGAAGAGGAGGACAGATAACTGCCTACAGAAATTCACGCGCTTTTTTTTTTTTTTTTTTTTTTTTTAAAAAAAACCCCCGGGCCCCTTTAAAAAAAAAAAAACCCCCCACAAAAATTCCCGCGCTTTTTTTTTTTTTTTTTTTTTTTTAATAAAAAACAGCCAGGTCCCACTTAAAAAACAAAAAACCCACACCAAACAAAAAACCACCAACACTCTCTCCCCACTAAGGGTCTGTGTTTCCCGGGGTTGGGGTTCAGCTCCTTCCTTTACCCTCTCCGTTTCCATCCATGTGCTACTGCTGCAACTCTTCTACTTTCATCTTCCTGGGTCCTCACGTCTGCTGCCAATTCCGGCATCCAGAGCTTGAGACTAAAGCTACCAGTCCCTTCTTGAGCAAGCTAGCTTCTGTATCTGTTCACAAGCCCTGCACCCTGATACCAGTTCCAAAAGCAAAGCAGAGATGCTTCTGGTGTCCCTGCAGGTAGCCAGAAAAGGCCATTCACTTGGGCTTCAGGTTGTATTTAACAGGGTAACATTTCGTTTTCAATAAGTGAAAATTTATAAGTCGTTTTGCCTTCCCTAACCTATGGAAAAGATATTTGCCAGTAAAGGGTGCCTGCAACACCACGATTGTATTTTGCCAAGATCCTATCAAATCGATGGCGGTTTATTTTCAGTTACTTTTCCCAAACAGAAGACAGTAAGCAGCAAATACACAGAACAAAAATACGATTTAAAGCCCCAGCAGTATATAATTTCTTACTCTCATTGGAAAAGCAGGCTTCCTTCCCCAGCCCTAAGTTTCTCCCTGCCCAGTCTCCGAGCATTCTATATCAGTGTGAGCACAGGAACTGTGCTACAAACCTGCCTAGATAAAACCTACTGTATTTTAAGGGACAGGTAGTGAAAAGCTAGTACAATCTTCTCATCTAGTCCTCACATCTGCAGGGTTTTCTAAAGGGTTTTAGTGTATTCCCTTGCAAAGAAGTTTCTTTATTGCAACCTCCGCTTTTTCCAAACAAGAAGATATACCTCTGCAGCCAAACAATACAAAATGCTTCTATAAATAAAAAGATCAATAGTTAACTCTGATGCCAACAAGAATGACACCAAGGGACTGGAGCAGTAGTATGGTAATTGAAATCTGCTGACGCAGCTGCTGCTCAACATAATTCAGGGAACTGCAGCAATAAAACTTCTCTGTTCTGTCACTCCTTACAATTAGTCCCAGAGCTCTCCAGTCATTTTAACCAACAGCACTCTCCATAATTACTCCACTGCAGACACTAGACCTGCCAGCAGATTTTACATTCTCCAGTGCTTCATTAGGATTAGAAGAATCTAACAAGAAGCTTTATCAAATTATTAGCTATTATCACACAGAAACTAGAAGCACACCTAGTAAGAATGCTGTTGAATATACGTGGGGGTGGGGGAAAGCTTCACTATTCCAATAAATTAAAAATGAAACAAAAGAATCTGAGCATACTCAATAACAGTATTTTAACTGGAACGTATAAAACATCCATCCCATCTCTGTCATTTCCTTGTTGCTGGGAGGACCAGCCTAGCAGAGCTGTTCAAATCCACAAAAAGGAAAAAAGTCTGTGTAAAGTCTTATTCCATCACTATTATACAAACCTTTTCATTAAAGTGTGCAAATATAAATAATCATGTATTTGCAAGTCATCTTTAAAACACTTGAATGGCACAATTCTTCCAAACATAATTTAAAATAACTTCTGTTTAAATTTGTTTTCAATTCAGCAGTATCAGTTTTTAATACTGGAGAGAACTAGTTCAAGCAATTTGAAAATGCTTGGTAATACACTGTTTAATTGCTGTTCGGGGGTGGGGAGGAAACCAAACCAGGATTCAAAGCCTCCATTCTTACACACAACCTCAGTAACATTAACTTTCTTTTTTTGCACTTTAACATTTGCTCTTGGAGTCCAAACGGAAGTATCTATAGGAGATTTAGAGGACTCTAGGCTTTGTATTTTGCATTATTGTTACCAAAAACATACAGATACCAGTCAGGTTTAAAAAACAAACAAACAAAACAACAAACAAAAAAACCACACACACCCCCCGGCCCAAACCAAAACCCACAACAAAACACCACCACACACATCTGCACCTCTTTCTCCTCCTCCTGCCAAAAACACGTGCGTGGAAGTCTTCCAACTACGTGAACAAACAGATACATTTGATCTATCCTGCATACGTATCAACTAAACAGTCTCCAAGCTTTGTAATCAAGAATTTACAGGCATAAATCCTGTCCCAGGCTCCAGTCCAATTTGAGAAGGTAAAACCTCCTCTTAGACATTGGTTCTCAATTAAGACTTCTGAAAATTTAAAATGGATAAATAAAAAGAACACCTACTGGAGGTTTCCCAACAAAGAGCAATGGTTCAAGGAGTCAGAAAAATCATTTTGCTTGCACACATTCTGTATGTTCTATACTTATTTTGGATGAAAGATTTTACTAAATTGGCACAAACTATGTATTTTCCATTAGAAAATGCAAGGCCTCTGTCTATGTAAAGAGCCTTAACTACTTTTTCTCCCTTGAACCTTTGTTCTAAGTTATTATATACGTAAGCCATTTCAACAGCGTACCATCTTAAGGTATCAAAGCCATAAATCATCCCAGTCTTTCTCCTTTTTGTTCTCACTTCTCAACTCTCCACGTAGTTGTGCTGTGCACTTTGATAGGCTCATGAGGATGAGTAATGATGGGAATAAAGAAGGGTTTGTTCTTTACACTTCTGAGTGGATGTACTGCACTCTGCTATATTCCCAGGTATTCTTGCTATTCCAGTCACAGAGTACACCGAGATACAGATCCGCTAATCCTACCATCCTGAACGGTCATTCTGTAAAGGATTTAGAGAAACCTTAGGGTGTGGACCATCTTAGAAAGTAATTCTCATGGACGAAGCAAGACTAAAACACGAATACCAGTAGGTAAGACGTAGTGCACAAACCCTTTCAGCCAAAAGGCTCAATGAACCGATTCTGTGTGTTCTATCTTCCCTCTGTCCAGTTTCACCACTATCTGTTATTCCCAAATCCTCTTCATTCCTTTTCTTACGTGGTGTTAAATCATTTCATGATTCTATTGATAAATACGTTTCAAGTAGCACAAATGAGAATGTTAATTGATGCAGTCAGATATTTTTAAAACAAACAGAGATTCAATGCTTGGCATATTCACAACAAAAGCCACCAGGAAAAAAACTCAATTCTAAGAACCATCTGATACTTGTTACTCACCATCAACCTACTTCAAGGTAGAAGAACTTTGTAGCTTCCTATTTATCACAGAGAAATGATGCAACCTACATAACTAAACGTTCTTAAACAAAAAATAGGGACAAGTGTTTTCTGTTTAAGAAGCAAAACAGCAAAACTTCCTTATTTATGTATAGTATGTTTCATTTCATGTTCGAAACAGCCTCTTTTTCTCCTGGAGAGTTCTTACTGGCATGCATTCACCAGATCCCCTGGCATTCCATTTGCCTAAGATCACACCTTCAGAAAAGAAGGGTGGAGGGGAGATGAAGTTAACCCTTGCCCTGATCGTTTGTCACTGGGTAAAATGCCTTGGGTAACTACATCAGTTAATCCCAGTGGGAAAGCTACGTAAAAACACGACAGAACCTGAACCAAAGTTTCCCTGGTAATTCAATTACAAAGGAATTCTTAACCATAGCACTGAAATCTCCACTGGTTAGCTTTCCTTCATTCAGACCTCATCTCTGCAAAGACAGCGTAGCAATCTTCATCATAACCACTGCATATAGTTGGGACATGAGAGATAACCAGTCTGCTCCAAAAATGCAAGATTTTGGTTTTAATTCTGAATGTAGAGAAATTAAAACTCCCTGTGAAACAGAATTTTACAATGAGTGCTGACAGAGCTATAAACATAACATGGTATTTACTGCTTGCAAGTTAAGATATACTGAGTTGGTTACAGACACTACAGTTTTGCTTGTGGAGGACTAAGCTCTAGTTTTACTTCAGGGTGGTTGAGTCACTTTTTGTTGTCCTCCCACAGCACACAGCTGCTGTATTTCAACGTGAAATAAGGACACTGACTACTGTAGTGCTGTCTTCACAGTCTGGTATGACAGATATGGCTCTTCCCTCATTCATATACCCTCATGTCTCAGAACATTAATTATTAGAACTAATGAAAGTGTAGGCATGCATTTTGATTGGGGAAAGTGAAGGCTGATATTCCCAAAGTTGTGTGTGAAATTAAACTTGATTACAAATGAAACTAATGCAAATGCTGCATTTAAGCCCCATTTTGGGTAACAGCTTGTTCTTTGTTACATGCTTGTACATAGTCTAGCAAAAGGCATCCTAGGCCATCAACAGGGCTCCACATACAAAAATGGAAATAAAAATCATTACCTAGACAGTCTTGGTCTTTCCTCCATCCCCTCAATCTGTAATGTAATACTCATTTCCCCTTTCCCAAGGGATTTATTAAAAATGCATGTGTGTAAACAGAATGCAGTGATATTCATCGGAATGAGACTTTATACCACAATTTGATGAAAGGATATCAAGATTATAATATGACTTTTTTTAAATAAGCAAATAGGTTTCTATATTAACAGTGTACAGAAACTGGTAGTTCTATACCATGACTGATTTTTTTTTATCTAGGCAGGGTGATATTTCCCCATTTAACCGCACATCTGGTTTCAATAATCCTACAGCTGCTACCTATTGGTATGCCTGCCTTTTGTTTTTACCTCCTTTCCTGACAGGCTCAAGAATAATTGAACAATAAATTAAAAAAAAAAATAACAAGTATAACATACAACTAATGACTGATAAGCAGCAGGAAAAGTTGCAAATTCACGAGTGCTGAGTATGAGCAGAAAACAACTTTGTACTGGAATGGCTAAGGGGGACTTTACCTTCCACATATGTTTAACTCACCTGCAAAGACCAAAAAGAATCATCTCTGGTGAAAAAGGTACAGAAGTAAAATCAAATTGAAAATCACAAGATAAAGGTAAAGCTATTTTAGGTTGGTCTCGGTTTGAACAAACTTCCGTGACAGCATATACGCAAGAGGCATGCTCTGCATACAGACATCTCCAGCTATGTTAAATGCTCTGTGACAGCACATAACTATAGCTTTTGGGGGGGGTTTGGTTGGGGTTTTTTTGGTTTTGTTTTTACTTACTAAGAAAGCAGATCTCACTGAGGAAAAGGTACAGGACTGGATTTGTTTGTTTGTTTTTAAAGACTCATCTTAAAACTAGAAGCCCATGTCTAGCCATACAGCACAGACTAGACCTACAGAGAAAGGCACACTGCAAAGCCAGTCACTGCAGAAAGGAAGAGTAGCTCGTACATGGAAGGTACAAACTGTACCAACACATTCACTTTTCTACATCCTCCTGGCCGTTAATGGTTTTTCACATAAGAGAGGATAACAAAGATTCTTCTCCCTGTTAGAAAGCACTGAATTGAGATCTTTAAAATATTTATACAGACCTACATAATCCACTGCCTTAAACCACAAGGCTATATACCATTGCTTTATTCTCACTCCCATTATCACCCAAAGAGCCTGTGACATATTTTCCAGTTACAACTTGCACCTTTAACTAAAGCACACATTCAGCTTTAAGACTAAAGACTTGCAGATCAGTCTCAGAAGAGCAGGCAGCACTGTATTTCCAATACCAGCTTTGCCTAAACAAGGGTGACTTAAGAATAGGAATTAAAAAGGCCAATAGTTTCTTTTTCAGCAGTTGGGTATTTTTGACAGTAGGGTCTCACTCAGTCTTTACCACTCTGTTTTGCCACACCTTGAGGGAAAACGTAATTTGCATTTCCTTTGTATTTGCAAATAGAACACAATCCCTTTTGGAGTAAGAAACAGCCAACATCTGTGGAAAGGCAATGCTATTGTGGCAAACAGCACTCACCTCCTGAAAAAGCGTAGACATTTCACAGACCAGACATGAGCTGGGGCTTTGCATTTCACATTTGTGCCTGTCGGAGAGGAAGAAATCTCGCAGCAGTGGAGTGTGGGTAAGTGCCTGGACAATACAGTTCATAAAACATGTGTTCCCAAGATTGATTAGCCCTCGTAGACCTATAAAGACAGAAGGGGGAGGGGAGGCATAAGCATTATCAAGTTAACAAAATGGTATATTTGCATTTTTATACAGTTTTCACAATAGTGCTACAGATTTACTGTATATGCAGAGCTCCAAGTATACAGTTTTATATTGTTTTAGGTAGGCTATTGGTTTTGATGTACTCAAGGCACAAGCTGCCACGAGCTTTCTGACCTGCACTAGGATTTGTTTTTTTAAATTCTCAGAAGAAAGGAAACCTCGAAGTACAGCAACACCAATAGCATTATTTTGCAATGGCTGTTTTGCCATACATCACCAAAACGTGCCCCCTCCCCAAGCTGATACCAAAGTGTCATGACAACAACTGGTTAAGTCACTATAGCAGGAACCAATACATTTAAATAAATCAATAAATAAGTTTTCAGATAGTTTAAAAGGCTTTCCCTCATGCAGGTCACAAAGCCAGAATAAGGTTTTTGTACTGTTATAATGCAACAATCATCTAAGACAGGCAGCAAAGGAAACAGCCTTGAGAAAACAAAGTCAGGCTGTGACATCCAATGCAGACTTAGCATATCCTTTTTTTGTACAAAACCTGAGATCCAAACAAGACAACCTTAAGGAGGAACTCTGAACAATCCTAGTTCCACACTTGTTTTAGCTAAGTTAAACATTAATCTACAGTATACATCAAAAAATTCAACTTGGCATAAGAGGATTCATCACACCTTAAGTCAAACGTTCAGTAATGCCCAGAGACGATTTCTTGTGCTTGGAAACCAAGATGCTTAAAGGAAAGCTCTTTTGTTGCACAACAGAGGAGAGGTTAGGAGTGGGGAAAGCTTTTCAGTCATTTGCAGTCTAAGTGAGAAGAAAAACATGCTCAAATCCTTGAGTATTCTTCCAAAATGTTAACATAATACCACCATACAGGAGTGCTAAACGAGAAGAGCATCAGGTGGACAAGAATGCTTATTTGTAATCAAAAACTTACTTTGAAACAAGATAAAATGCACTGATAGATACAATTCTGGCATTAATTTAAAATTAGCATAGTCCTCTTCTGCAATATAAATGGGATTACTACACAAACGGTGAACGAAAAAACAGGATTACTTGACAGAGAACGAAGAATTTCCTTGCCATACCATGGGGAAAAAAAAGTACCAGCTGGCAATGCTGTGGTAATTAAAAATGGTGCAGTTCCCTTGCAGTACACCAGATAGTGCTCAAAGGGCTCTTTAGCATCTTTCAGCCGGAGGAGGTGTGGTCCAGTTGCTATGTTACCAGAGAGAAACAGCACTACATCAGCTTGAACCGCATACTGAGCTGTAGGCGATGGACAGAGAGCCCTCTTAAATTTTCCTTCCTGTATCTAATGCAATACAGTCCTCCTTCCAACAGCTTCCTGTTGCTTCTGTTTACTCAAAGTGCAGGACACAGTTTCTCATTATATTATAGTAACTTCTACTGGGCAGAAAGCTTATTGCAATTATTTGCTTTATTTTCAGGCTGGGAGGCAACAAGTGTATGCACAACATTAGCAAAGTGTTAAATAGTTAATTTGTTGTAGCAGCTTGAAATATGGTGTGATGCTTCACTTTGTACACAATCCTATTTCAATCCCCAGTCTACATGTCTATGCAAACAATGTCACAACAGAAAGGTGATCATACTGTGCAAGTGGAGAAATGTTTGGTCGGTACATCTTGCCTACCTCTCCACTGTATTTTCCATTTAAAACCTACTGTTTTTATTTAAAATCACAGACTGTGCAAACAGAAGCCTGTAAGGCTCCCTGGACGTGCCTGAGATGCACCAGCGTATTTTGAGAAGCAGAAGAGTGTCTCCCTGCTTCTCTCTGGAAAACCCGGTCCCTCTGGTTACCGCCGGAATTCAAAGTCAGCCTGCACAGCGCAGAAGACTACTGGAAAACCGGTAGTACATCTAGAGGCTCACCCTATCACTTTTTGATATCTAATCGAGCAATCACAAGTAAAAGCAAACACATAAAGGCAGCTTTTTGGAATCATTTATTAAGCATCATTTATTACATGCCTGTGGCTGGACCTTCTTTCCCTGTGACCACAAGAATCAAATCTTCCTCAAAGTTGCCACCAGAAGATGAGTTACAGGCATCAAACTCGGAAGGCTCTCTTGGTTTATTGTACTTGCTTGGTCTGTTGGTGTCAGTTTTTCATAGGTCTAAATGGAGTGCTTCATATGCTATGACTTCACTTGAATGAACCGAGACAAAGCAACCTGCAAAACAGACAAGGCTGAAACGTGAATACTCCAAACCCTAATAAAAATAAGAAAACGGTGTATGTAGCAAAACATGAGAACTTACTTGGCTGAAAAGGGAAAAATGTAAAGGCGCATACATCAGTCTTATCCTTGAGACAGCAATGACTGCAGCTGCTACACTGTCTCATAAACTGATGTTTGAAATAAAACAGGTATGATGCACTGAACTTCAGCTAAGATACTGCGTAACTAATTGCAGCATCTTGGAAAACATTGAAATGTGACGTATGTAAACTAAAGAGCTGACAGAACTCAGAACAAGACATGCCCTTGTGCTTAACTTCTATGGGAAAAAACGAGTTTTGTTGGGAAGAAAAATAGCTAAAAAAAATTAAAGCCTATAGAGCATTCTGGCCAATAAAATATTAAGAACGTAAAAGACTTGTGTCTGCCACACCTATTTCCTCCCCATTAATAAAGCCTGGCAATATTTAACTGTAATAGTCAAGCATTGCAACATGTGGGTCATAAATTAACAGAAAAATAATGTGCCAAAACCTCAAATGCAGCAGTCCACTTTTGCTAGCATCAACAGTTGTCTCCACTAGCATCTAATCAGTGGACAGTATTTGTACAGAGGAGTGGGCTGTCTAAGGACTGCCAACAGGATCCAACCTCTAAGTAATAAAGCTGCAGTACTTTGCAGACTTCTGCTATGCTTCATAGTATTATCTTTATTTCTGTTTCTTGTGAACTGTTTCTGAAATGCGTAAGAGCAACCAGTGAGATACTTAATACATTCTATACATAGATGTGTGCTCTTGTGGTAAGTTAGTTAGCAGAAAAGCACTGTTATACTTCTGAACCTTGCTGATGTAAATGTAAATATTGGAATAAATTAATATTGCTGTCAAGACAATAATTGTCATGTATGGTATAATCATAAAAAAGAAAATACCCTTTAATCATCATGCATGGTGTACAACCACTACTCTCATTCTGTCACGTGCTGGGCAGGCACAGTGTGACCAAGGCAGCAAGAAATCTACTTCTGTGATGCCTTGAGCACAGGTAAACCCATCTGGGAAGTTCTTTTTACATTTGCTCTCAAAACTAGGTTCTAAGCAACTGGCTTACCTTTGTCAGCTTCAGTTCTTCAATCTTCTTCCAATAATGGGTTTTGTTTTTTCAGATGTTCAAAGTAGTAGATCTGCAATACTGGGCAACAACGCTTGTTGTGATACAGGGAGATCTAGAACACTGGTTCTGCAAGTCCACCCACGCAGGCGAGATGAAAACACCAAAACAAGATAAGGCAATTCCACTTCTCTGTGAAATGCAACTGTACAGCTATTAAAGGTGGGGAAGCGGGGAAACGCGAGGACCACACATGAATACAAAATACAGAAAAACCAATCAGGTGCCTGTCTTGCTCTCCTGGAAGAGCTTCTGTTTGTCTCTAAAACTAGTCTTCATGCTGTGATGGGAAAGACAGGAGACAAACCAGTCTGAACAAATATTACCACACCGAAACTGTGATTTATTTGAATGAAAGTTCTGGAAGTAAGAACATATAATGCAACTTTGTGAGACAATCAGGAAATCATTCAGATGCACTAAAGCACAGCCAGCTTGAGATCCTTTTTACATCAAACACAGGTCGGCAACACCTTAGAGCAATTTTTTGTCCCCCACCCCCAGCCCTCCCAGTTCCCCATCTGGTGTTGATGCTTCCCTGAAGCTCCACCAGACAGTATCAGAAATCAGTGCAAGCTGAGGAAGTGCTCACTGAAATATTTAAAGAGAGTTCAACTTAATCCTTGGAAACAAAGGGTGTAGCACAGCAATGAAGATTTCTAGAACAATTTTGGGTTTTCATCCTATGTTCATCAACAGGAACTGCAACATCATTTAAGAGCATCTTTCTGAAAATGTATTTCAAGGGAGAACTGCCCTACTTCTTAGCACCTAAAACTAAAACCAAATTCTATCTCAGCTCTCAAGTTTCAGGTGCAGACCACACCATACATTACCAGAATCTATCTGTTACAAACACTGGCCGCAGCCAGGCCAATACACTCCTGTTCCACTTGCGTGCCAGAAGCAGCATAGTTTTGCTAATAGGGTTAGTGACAGCAATTATTCTCAAAAGATAATACCTTTTAAAAGAAACAAAAAACCTATTCATTTCAGAAAGCAGCAGCATGCAGATGCATGAAATTAAAAGTCTGCACAGGAAAAAGCATGGCATTCTGTGACACTAATGATCATGTGAGTTATCAAAAGAGAACCATGCAGTTTTAGTGAATTTATTCCACACCACTTCAGCTGAAGCATCCTTTCTCAGTAGCTGCGTGAAACCCACATGTAGCTGCAGAAGCAGAAATACTTAGTTGAATGTATCAGAAAAGTTTTTTTTCAGAGGATTTTACAGAACATTTTTTACAAACTTACTGATGACACAGTCAGGTATTAAATTATTTCGACAACAGTTTAAGAAAAAGCTACATAAACTTTTGCTGCAGCCAAGTTACATGAAAAAATTTCAACCACATGATCTTAAAAACTAACTTCATAATTCAACGTCTCTGCCATGAGAAAACACACAGCATGAAATCTACCATAAAAGAAAAGGGGGGGGATAGGGAGGAGAGTGTTTGAGCGCAATCTGAGTTTCCAAAAACGTGTAAGTTGTATTCTTTAAATTCAAACATATAGCTTTGCTTTAGAATTTGTAAAGAATGAATTTCTTTTCCTTTGTTTATTC